GCATTAAAATAGGGCTTTGATATTTTACAAACAAATATAAATGTGAAAATAATGTGTAAAAGTCATGGGGTTTATACAGCCACTTAATTTGACATTTATTTAAATAATAAAAGGCCTAATGGTGGCCTCCAAAGGCCACTGTATAATCAAAATTCTGTTAAAGCAAAGGGAAGTCAATCCCAACAACTTCATTTGTCAATATATACCTCTGAGATCCTGTCTCTTCAGCAACATATTGATAATACTTTTGTAAAACAATTGTCAGAATTGTCTGGCACTGATCTGTTACAAAGCATCTCAAATGGCATTGAACCCTTAATCCTTTCCATGTTACTCCATGGTTTAGTGGAAGTGTAGTAATGATTTGTCTACGTTGTCTCTGTACTATCTGTATATCCCGCTTAGTCTGGCGATGAGGATGAGGACGAGTCTGGCAACAAGCCATGGACCAAAAATCTGCAGTCCTTGCCCTGATGTTGCAAAAACTTTCAGCATTAAAAAAAAAAAAAAAAAGCGGGGAAATGTAGAGATATAGATTTGAGACAAAAGCCTGATGTCCCAAGAGAGCAGGGAACAATAGACAGAGCCCAAGGAGAGTTGCCATCTGTTTGCAAATTCCCCGCAAGCTGGGATTCAAGGCTGCAGATAACAGCTTCTCCTGTAGGCGCCTTGTCCTTTGATCCCTTGCTTGGGATGTTATCAGCTAGCTTTTGTGTGAGCCTAGTGTTAGGCAAATGGTGGAAGGCAATAGAGATAGTAGTTTGTATTCGCTTAAATAATTATGCACATTCCTTAGTCTGCCTTTACCCCTCAATAAATTGAGATGCTTCTGAGGCTCTGAGCTTACTTGGAGAGAGACTAATCTCAGTGAGACCTCTGAAGCTACATTCATCAGGTCTTCTCGTCATTTCTTTTGGCACTGACCCGTAGCATACAAAACAAGAGGAATAGGCAGGACAAACTGCTGGGTGGGTGGTGGGGAAGGGCTCCTACTGGGGCAACAGGACCTCTTACCCAGTGAAAAGGCACTTTTTTAGCCCGGATGTTTAGCAGAATCTTTCTAAGTGTGAGTGTGAGTGTAACCCACTAGTGGATCATGCAATCAGCTGGCTACTGCTTGAATTACTTTTTTTTTTAATTTTTATTTTTTTTTATTTTGTGTGTGTGTGTGTGTGTGGCCAGCTCAGCCCACCAGGGTGCGGGGCTGGCTGGCATGTGGTGCTGGGGGATTGAACCATGGTCCCTGGGCTTTGCCAAGCCTGTTCCAAGTAGGTGCTTTAGACCACTGAGCCATCTCACCAGCCCTTGAATTACTTTTTAATGCAATAGACTATCAGGTATCACACTAAGGAAATATTGTTTTGCAAAATGTTGGTCTTATCTCCCTCTCCATCCATCTAAGAGATAACGTTTATGGCTTGGAATATTAAATATATCTTATTGCAGGCCTCAATCAAAAGGTTGGAAAGCTGCAGGCCTGGAGCCTGATTAGCAGGACTAAGATGGGGTGGACACGGCAGACACATGTACCCTGCTCAGAGCTGTGGGGGAAAGAAGGGGGCGCAACAAGTCCAAGGTCCTGTAGGCAGTGTGGAGCCCTGAGGGATTCAGTAAGGCCCATCTTCTTCACCCTGGTGCCCAGGCTACCTAGGCAGGAGGAGACTGCCGGAAGTTGTCTGTGCTTCCCCAGAAGCCTAGAGCTACGACTTTCCCTACCTGTAACTGGCATGAGCTCTCAGGACCACCTGAGCTTCCGGTAGGGGTAAGGGTGGAGGAAGAAATCATCCTAGGTTTGGCAGAAAGACAGAATTTCTGTATTCATAGTCATCTCTGCTACTTCCAGCCTTTCAGTCTTGGGCAGCTATTAGAACCTTTTCTTTAAAAATTGGGGCTAAGATTCATCTCCAAAAGTTCTTATGAGAATTTCATTTGTATCTCAAATGTCCTTAAACCTTCAGTAAAACAAAGAACAACATCTAGTATGTAGGGGCAGCGGGATATAAATAAAAACCCAGGGCACAACACAGATGACTACTGTTATGAGATCATCACATGCTTCTCTGTGTTCCATGCATGTGAGGAAATGTGCCCACTCTGTCCTTACAGAAGCGTCACTCACATTTGCTTGTGCTGACCTTGTCCCCTTCCCAGAAACAAAGACTAAGGCCCTAACTGGCCCAGACCACTAACCACTGCAACAGTTATTTTTATTTTTTGTTAGTATTATTTGTGTGTGTGTGTGTGTGTGTGTGTGTGTGTGTGTGTGTGTGTGGCTGGCTCAGCCCACCCTAGAGTCGGGGCTGGGGCAGCATGTGGTGCCAGGGATTGAACCATGGTCCCTATGCTTTCTGCATGCTTGCCTAAGCAGGTGCTTTAGCTCACTGAGCTATCTCACTGGCCCACAAGAGTTATTTTGAAAAACCAGCAGCTTTCCCCTAGAGTGGGAGATGCGCCCCATAAGCAGGCAGCACCTGTTTTGGAGCTCCACTCTGCTACTTCGATAGGTTCCTTTCTGCTTTCTCAGCATTTGCCATTCTTTAAAGAAACCTTTGATTCCCACTGCCTCAGGCTCGACTCCCTCATTTCTCACTAAGAATCCCCCTTCTCCACTCCTCAGTGAAGTGAGGGTGAGGACATGAGCAGAGATAGCTGACACAACATTTGATGCGCTGGCCAGGAATAAATCGGAGAGCACCCAGAAGACCCCTGGACACAGCACAGCCGACCCAAATAAGAGTGGCCGTGGGAGAACAGTCTTCTGGCTGGGCCCACCATCCTGGGTGATGGAGAACTCTGGCTTCCAGGAGAATTGAGCCCAGTCCCTAGCCATCAGGGGGACTTGGGCTTTACCCTCAGATGGCTCAGAGGGGGATTCACTCAGGATCACCTCAGTAAGAGGGGATCTTTCAAGGCCAGCTGGAGTCAGCGCACATGGATACCCAGCAGGAGATCAGGAGGCCTGGCACATCTCCAGATGTTCTTTTTAAACCTTGAAAAAAAAAAGATACAAAGGAAAGATCATTTTGTATTTATATATACAAAATAGGATAAATTTACAGCTACGTTCGCTTAACTCAATGAGAAGAAAGAGGTGTACTAACAGTGTTTGGACAGAATATCCTGTCTGCTTCTTGTACTATGGATAACCACTAAGAAGATAACAATGTACAATGTATTGACTATCAAAACTGTCCTATTAATCAGCTGTGAAACTGTCTCATTCATATTTATTTCTCAATAAAAAATAAATAAGTAAAATAATAAATAAATAAATAAACCTAGAGCTATGATTGCTTTCTAGACTGTGGCTGCTTTATATGTTACAAGATAAAAACTGCAGATAATTTCTAAAACAGGCTGCCCATCTCAAGGTTGTCACCTTTACAAACATAGTAAAGACAAGAGCTTTAATGGGTATCACAGGAACCCCAAAGACTTTTGGTGACAGCATAGAAATTAAGTGGATTAATCATTTCTGTCATAAAAATAAAAAACTACCCATAGAAAATATAAAGCCTTGGCAAGGTAAGCTGGTCTCTGCTCCCCTCAGGTAATTACATGAGTAAGAAAAATATTTAAGCAGCCCTAATGGGAGCTGCTGTGGATTCCAACACCCCAAGAAGAGCCTACTAAGAATGTTTTATCTGCCAGCAATGGCTTGAACAAGCTTTTCAGAGCCAGACACACCTGAGGGTAACATTTCCTTCACACTGTTTCTGACCTCTCTCTCACACAGATAGGTTATTCTCAGGACTGGGTTTCCCACGGCTACTTGTTGCTTCTCTCAATCCACCACTCTGAAAAAAAAAATTGATCACTTAGATTCTTCCTATGCACTTATCGTAGATAAGAAAATGAGCTCCTTTTGACTTCATTTGTCACCTATTTTGCCATACACTGGAAATCCCAGATCCTTCATGTAAGGATCCTTTGTACTAACCCTGCCTTTTAAAATATAAGTAGAAGATGAGAAGGAAGAAGAAAGAAAGAAA